TAGCATTTTCCTTCATTGTCTTGGATCATTGCATTGTTAAGAAGAGCTAAGTCTATCATAGTGAATCATACAGTGTTGCTGTTTACAATGTTCTCTTGGTTCTGCTCATTTCACTCAGCATCAGTTCATGTAAATCTTTCCAGGTTTTTCTGAAATCTACTTACTCATCATTTCTTATAGTATGATAGTACTCCATTACATTCATATACCACAACTTGTTCAGCCATTCTCCAACTGATGGACATCCCCTCTATTTCCAATTCTTTATCAACACCACAAAAAGAGTTGCTATAAATATTTTTGTACATGTGGATCCTTTTACCTTTTTTATGATCTCTTTGGGGCACATAGGTAGTAGTGGAATTGCTGGATCAAAGAGGATGCAGTTTGGTTGCCCTTTGGGCACAGTCCAAATTGCTCCCCAGATCAAGTGTATTTCTTATTAAAATATATTGTTGTATTCTGGTTTCTAATACATTGTGCTATTCTGCTTCCATTTTAGGTGTGAGCTCACCGCATTCACATTCAGTTAGGATTACTAACTGTATATTTCCCTCCAACCTATTTTTCTGTTTTTCCTTCTCTTTTTATCCTTTTCTTCCTCAAGTCTATTTTTCTTCTGACCACTGTCTCCCTTAATCTGCCCTCCCTTTAATAATTCCCTACTCACATATCTCTTATCCCCTTCTCCTCCTTTTTCTCTATGAAATAAGATAGTTTTCTAAAACAACTAAGTGAGTATATTTTTTCCTCTTTGAACCAATTCCGATGAGAGTGAAGTTTGTTGTCCCTGCCACCCATTTTCTCCTCCAGTTTTTAAAAAAGCTCTTTCTTGCAAGCCTCCTTTAAGTGAGAAAATTTTCCCCATTCTACCTCTCCCTTCTCCTTTCTCCCAATACATTCCTCTTTCTCACCCCTTCCGGGATTTTTTTTAGATCATTCCAACATTATAGACTCAAATTCATGCCCTCTGTCTATGTAGACTTAATTATAATAAAGTTCATAGGAGTTACATGTATCATCTTCTAATATAGGAATATAAACAGTTTAATTTTATTAAGTTCCTCAGGAGTACTCTCTCGTATTTGCCTTTTTATGTTTCTCTTGAATCTTGTGAATATCAGTTTTTCTATTTATCTGGTCTTTTGATCTTGAAAGTCTTATATTTCATTAAATGTCGATTTTTTCCCCTGAAGGATTATACTTAGTTTTTCTGGTAGGACATTCTTGGTTGTAACCCTAGCCCCTTTGCCTTTCAGAAGATTATATTCCAAACCCTTTGATACTTTAATGTGGAAGTTGTTAAATTTTGTGTCATCTTGACTATGGCTCCACAATACGTGAATGGTTTCTTTTTGGCTGCTTGCAGTATTTTCTCTAGGATTTGTCTATAATATGCCTGGAAGTTTTCATTTTGGGATCACTTTCATTATGTTTTTGTGCCTCTTTTTACCAGACTTTTAATTCTTTTTTCCTAATTTTCTTGCATCACTCTGATTTCTTTTCCCAATTTTTCCTCTACAATTTTTATCTCTTTCTTTAACACTTCTAGGAATTCTTGTTGGGCTTTTGGTCCAGTTAGCATTTTTTTTTCTTTGAGGCTTTGCTTACAGCTGTTTTCATAGTGTTGTTTTCTGAGTTTATTTCATGGTCTTCCTTCTCATTGTTACTAAAAGATACTAAAGTTTTTATGGTCAAGTTCTTTTTTTTTTCCAGTTTGTTCATTTTTCCATCCTTTTTCTTACCACAGTCATTCTGTCCAGCATCTGTGTTTTAGATCCCCATCAGGGGTCAGAGAAGCAGTGTTGAATTCCTGTTCTTCACCAAAGAAGTGAATTCAGGGACTCTTTTTTATGTTAGAGGGACAGTGATATAGTCCTGTTCTGCTCCTAGCCTCTGACCCCATAATCACAGACCATCCCTATTCCATAGTTCTTGCCTTTTCCATTTGTCTGTAAGTCAAATTTTTGATCTTGTGCTTGAAAGATGACCTCTGTGATTTCTCTTTAGATTTCCAATCACTACTCATTTGGAAGACCTCTGACATTTTTATGGGACTAATTGTCTGGGGGGGGCGGTACTAGGCTGGACTGCTTCCTCTAACTCCACCATTTTGCTTGGCTCTCCCAAGATGATAAACTTCAACAGAGGAAACGAATCACAATCCTATCAGTATTTTCATTATAAATGATTCATATAAATGAATCCAGTGATCCAGAGGTGTGGTCACTGCTCTCTGGGTCTTTACCCAGAAAGGGCCCCTCTACCCAGATGCAAGTGTTAGCATTCCTCTCAGACCTGGAACTGCAACCACAAGCCCTAGTATTCCTCTTGACCTTGAAACCACAACTAGGACCCCTGCTCCTTTGTGACTCATGAGAAGCACTCCTTTCAACCCTGGAACTATGACTCAGAATAGCTTATCAGCAATAGAGTTGCCACTCAGTGTCAAATGCACCCAGTGCCAGCAATGGGTTTCCTGTAATCTCTTTCTGACCTCCCCCTCCCCTTTACTGTTTCTGAGCTAAGAGCTCCCCAAACTGCTTCTACTGCCATTGCCACTGTTGCAGTCACCTCCAAGGTCCACCACTGGGGCTGTCACACTGCATCACAGGCTGGCTCCCACTCCAATGTCACAGACCTCTCTTGCCAACCTCCTAAGTTGTAATATGCTGGAAAAATATCTTATTCTGATCTTTTGTTGGCTCTGCCACTCCTAAATTTTATTTGAATAGCTGTTTTTAAATGATTTAGAGGGGAATGTTGGGAGAGTTCATATGGGTTACTGCCTGTGCTTGGCCATCTTGGCACCCTCAGATTGGTACTTTCTGGGTTATTTTTTTTTTAATTTTGGAGGCAATGGGGGTTAAGTGACTTGCCCAATGTCTCACAGCTAGTTAGTAAGTGTCTGAGGCTAGATTTGAACTCAGGTCCTCTTGACTCCAGGGCCAGTGCTCTAACCACTGCACCACCTACCTACTTCCTAGATTGGTACTTTGAATGAAAACAAACTAGACTGCACACTTCTGGTGTGCCTTACAGTCCTTGAAGCCTTATATATTCCTACAATATTTTATCAGTTATTCTGATACTAGGATCAGAGAAACAACAAGGCTACCATATTCTACTCCTAGAGACTGGCTACACAACCCACTGTCCTAGGTTAGAGAGATAGTACCACAGTCACTCTGTCCAGCATCTGTGTTTTAGATCCCCCATCAGGGGTCAGAGAAGCAGTGTTGAATTCCTGTTCTTCACCAAAGAAGTGAATTCAGGGACTCTTTTTTATGTTAGAGGGACAATGATAAGGTCCTGTTCTGCTCCTAGCCTCTGACCCCATAATCACAGACCATCCCTATTCCATAGTTCTTGCCTTTTTCATTTGTCTGTAAGTCAAATGTTTTATCTTGTGCTTGAAAGATGACCTCTGTGATTTCCCTTTAGACTTCCAATCACTACTCATTTGGAAGACCTCTGACATTTTTATGGGAGTAATTGTCTGGGGGGTACTAGGCTGGATTGCTTCCTCTAATTCCACCATTTTGCTTGGCTCTCCCAAGATGATAAACTTCAACAGAGGAAATGAATCACAATCCTATCAGTATTTTCATTATAAATGTAACCAGAAATTATTAAGAAGTTACAGATAAATGGAAGCATGACAGACAGCTAAATGAATAAAGGAATTACTAAAGGTGGTATCATCCTGCACTCAAATGAGAATAAGAAAAATCACTTTATGTGACATTTGGCTATTTTGCTCTAGATAAGCATAAACAAAATGACCATTATTAAGATAATTGTAGATTATGAGTTAACAATTTTTTTGTCAGAGAATGAAAAAATAGAGATTCTACAAAGAATTTGACAAAATCTACCAAACTCTTTCAATATAAAAGTGAACATAGGGAGATTAACAAAATCTATCTTGGAAAATATAGTTTGAGAATAAGAAAGAAAATAAGCTTACTAAGAAAGGAAAAAAGCTAATAGGTTAAGCACATCTTTATATCATATTTTTTTAAAAAGACTCAAAATGTTACACATGATAAATACCACAAAGTAAAAGGTGCTAAGATATTGAAAACATCTTAACAGATAAAACATGACTGATTACTAACATGGGAGTCATTCCAGAATTAACTGTCCTTGTGAAGATCATTGATGGGTTACAGTAAAGGTCAAAATTAACATCAAATTAGAGAAAGTAGACAAATAAGAGGATAAGTCCTGCTTTCAATTAGAACAGTTTCACTTGATCTATTTAAATCAGTTAATTACTGAAAAAAAAAGAAAGTAGACAAAGTCTGATTATCTCCATATCTTAGAGAAGGTTAACTAATTCAGATAACACTTTCTTTACTTTCAATATCACTGCCCCTGAAATGGTGAGTTTATAGAGATAAGTTAACACAGATGAGAGGTATCTCCAATTCCATTTTATTTTTTTTTTTTGGACTAGGCAGTGGGGTTAAGTGACTTGCCCAGGGTCACACAGATAGTAAGTGTTATGTGTCTGGGGCCAGACTTGAACTCAGATCCTACTGAATCCAGGGCCGGTGCTCTATCCACTGTGCCATCTAGCTGTCCCTTCCAATTCCACTTTCGAATGAACCTTCAGATGCCTAAAAACTGAGAGTACTATTTTTTCTCTTAGAGATTCTTATCCTAAGATTATTTGGACATAGACTAGAGGAAGGCTGAAACCAATCTTGACTGACTTTTGCCTGGGCAGATAACTAGAGATCCTCACTCATTTCAATAACTATTAGTAGAAAGTCAAAACAAATAAATAATATCAAAAACTAAAACCCAACTCTATAAAAGTTACTTTAAAAAATCTCATACGGAATTCACAGGAAAGCACCTGAATATTTGTTATGTTTAACTAATTTTCAAAATAGTTCATCATCTAAAAATGGAAGGGGGAGGCAAAAACTCTCAATGAATGGTCCAGGCCCATTTATTAAACAATTAAGGACGCAAATTTGGATATAAAGTTGTCCAAAGATGAAAGGACAAAATGTTAGCACTTCCATGAGGATAGAAGAAGTCCTTGTGACCTTTACAATACAAAATGGTTATGTAACCGTCATCTCCTCTATGGCATCTCACCATGTTTTAACTCACTAGATCCAAAAATCAACACACTATCTTTTCCCCAAAATCCTCCCATCTTACCAAGTTCCCTACTATTGTTGAGGGCACCACAGTCCTCCCAGTCACTCAAGTTCACAACCCAGGTGCTCTCTTCAACAACTCATTTTGCTTCCTGCCCCCACCCCATATCTAATCTGTTACAAAGGTCTGTAAATTTTACCTTTGTAACATCTTTGAAATGTCCCCTATTGTTCTCTGACACTGCCACCACCCTGGTGCAGGCCCTCATCACCTCACACCTAGACTATTGCAATAGCTCTCTGGATGGTGCATCATGGCTTCCCTGACTTCCTTTAGGACCCAGCTAAAATTCTATCTTCTACAGAAAGCCTTTCCCAATCCCCCTTCATTCCAAATGCCTTCCTTCGGTTCATTATTTCCAATTTATCCCGTACATAGCTTGTCTGTACAAAGTTGTTTGGGTGCTGTCTCCCCTATCAGACTGTGAGTTCCTTGAGATCAGAGACTTTCATTTACCTTTCTTCATATCCCCAACATTTAGCACAGTGCCTGGCATGTAATAGGAACTTGATAAATATTTACTGACTGACTAATTCACTGACTGACATTCATCTCTAATAATGCCAGAATATATTATTTACTATTACCCTACAATGATGATTCCACATTTTATATATTCTCCACAGTTGAGATTTAGTAACTCCATTCACTCAAAATTACACCAAAAACTAATAAAAAGTTCCAGGAAAGAATCTCTTTCCAATCCAATGGATTCAATTCTACCCAGAAATTTGGGTCTTTTCTCTTATCAAACTTATTACTCTGATTAACTTCATAGGTATAATAGGGAAGTTGTCCTTAAGCTCAACTACAATGTTAAGAGTAACTTAAAATTTTTCTCAGTATTTATAAATTTCTCACCAGCCTTGGATTGAAAAGTAAGAGTAGGTTTCCCAAAAGATTTTGTTTTAAGGAACATATATATCTATATCTATATCTATATGTACACACACATATGTATGTATGTATATGTGTATATATATTTGTGTGTGTATATGTATACATACACATATGTATGTATATATGTATACATACACATATGTGTGTATGTATGTATATGTGTATGTGTGTGTATTTGATTGATCTGTTAGGAGAAGATAAATGAGGAACATTACAGAAAAGAGGAATAATAACATGAGAAAAAAACACTGAAATAGGGATGAATGGTAATTTGTGTAGGATAAAAAGTAAAACACTATAGCTACAACAAAGAATACTCAGAGAGATATAGCTAGATATATCAAAGAGGAGCCTATAGTGGATGGAATGGAATTTTAGCTTGATGATTTTACATAGTAAGCACTATATATACGTTAGTTATTATTAATCAATCAATAAAGATTTATTAAGTACCTACTATGTGGTCAAAACTGTGCTAATTACTGGACTATTTTTATTATTATCGCTATTACTGTGATTATTAATAATATTACTTTTTACAATAAGGAAGAATGATTGGCTCTTAGGTAGAGAAGTGATACAATTTGAGCATCTACTATGTGAAATGGTAAGGAAATAAGCATTTCTATTGTCCCTACTATGTGCCAGACATGGTGCTATGTGCTTTTTACAAACTTTATCTCATTTGAAAGGCATTTTTGCTAAGCACTATGGCAAGATACAAAGATAATGATGAGAACAATACAAGACAGGTCCCTGAACAGTTGAGCTTGGTAGATAACGTATGTATGGGAAAACTGGTTGTAGACAATAAAGTATGACAAGACCACAGAGAAGACTGAGATTATTTCCATTTAAGGAGGAGGTGCTTGCTCACTTAGCATTTGGGAGAGAGGTGGGAACTGGATCATCCTTTGAAGCATTGCTAGGATTTCCATCATATTTTGAGTAGAAGCAACATCATGAGCAATAGTTAAGAGATAAGAAATCATAAAGTCTACTCAAACAGAGCTGTTTGTCAGGTGCAGAGGGTTTGGACAGAGGAGTCATTGGACTTAAGGTTGGAAAGGTAAGATCATGTTGGACTTTGAATCTAAGATTGTGGAGTTTGTACTATGAATTTTATTGTTTAGGCAAGGAGAGATATTGAAGCTTTTGAGCCAAGGAGAATCATATTAAAATAAGATTTATTTAATAGTGCAAATGGATTAGAATCTGAAGCTGAGTTGGAAACTGAATCACAGAATGTCATGCCTGGAATGCAACCTATCATGTAATCATGTATCTAGACCAACTTTCTCATTTACAGATGAAGAATCTGCAAGTCTCAGTAACTCCCTTATGGGCACACTGACAGGTGGACAGGATTATGATCCTACACAGAATTACAAACTCACTTTGTTCAACTCCAAGACCAGAACTTTCCCTCTACACCGTGATACTGCAGTGTTTAGGGAAGCTGGGCCGTGCAGTGCATAGAGCACTGGATGAGGACACAAGACCTGAATTCAAATCCAGCCTCAGATGGCTTGTTAGATGTGTGACCCTGGAAAGTACATAATCTTTGTTTGCCTCAATTTTCTCATCTGTAATTATGAAGATCAAATGCGATAGTATTTGCAAAGTTTTTGGCATAATATCTGACGCAGAGTAAGTACTATATAAATGTTGGTTATTAGCTATTATTATTTATGTGTAAGACAGATATGACTGGTTGTATTATTTAGAAGGTGAAGAATCATTATTAAGAATGGTACCAACTTTTGTTCATTTGTTAATAATTTTGTATCAAAATTATTATGAATTTGTATTATCTTTATTAACTGCCAATTGTATATATAAAAGAGGTGAATATTTAGGATGAAATAATAACCATTGTTTTTATGTTGGGGTTGGTGCCATAACAGAGTCAAAATTATACATATAACGAAGTTTGTTATGAAAATAATGACTCTAGTCCCAAAATGGATTGTGATTAGTATCCAAATAAATTCCCAGTGAATAACTTAGAGTATTTCCACTTCACCAGGTATCCATCAGGAGCTTTCATGTTGTGCATCATTGAAAACTGGTTAGAGTCCAACAACTTAAGGAAAGAAGGATGCCTAAAATGTTCTACTTCACTTTATAGTATTTATAAGCTTTGAAATCAAAGTAAATATGATTTATATTTCCAGGCTAAAATATTACTTCTTTAAAGATTTATACCTAGATAATTGCAATTAATCTTTCCAAAATGACTATGACAGTCATAGATTTATAGCCAAGAAAAACAATGCTCAAATTGTTTGCTGAGCTATCAACATGAATAGCTATTGATTTTCAATATTTATGACATTTATGCATATGAAGAATATCACATAAATGAGGATAAACAACTCATTCTAATCCTTTTAAAGATTATTATTTCCATAGTCATTTAGAAGAAGAGAAATGAATTCTTGATCTATCTGTGTGTTTAAATACTTTCAAGCATGACGTAGGCTTCTATTTTATTTATCTGAGGTTATAGCATTATTCTATCTATCTTTTATAAGCAGTAGTTCAAGGTATCCCATTTCCAAAGTCTCATTTCTAGCTCTTCTAGCTGAAGAGCCCTTTTGAGCAACGCATAAGAGCTTGTCTCTGGGCAGAGAAGAGTATTCTAAAATGTTGATTTCTTTCAGTTGCTTTGTTCCTCACTCAAGGTGTATAAGGGGCATGGCAGGCAGAGAGGAGGGAACTATTACATTCTTAACTCAAATTAAAAAAAAATAAAAATTTAGCATCAAAAAATGACCCAAGCCTTTAAATTAAGGGCAAATAGATTCCCAAAAATTATCATTAAAATATTTTCCATTATTCTGATTCTAAAGTTATCATTGTGGTTGATGCATAACACTTAGAAACTACAGACAAGGAAAATACTCATCCATAGTCTCAGTTGCAAAGATCAGAAGTCTTAGCAACAAGTACCCATTCTCTATCTTCCCTTTTTTGAATTCCTTTAATATATACATTTATAAATATATATGTATATGCATACAAACAAAACTGTACATATATATCTATATATACATATATGTTTGTATATGTATGTTAAAATTGTCTTATACATTCTGAATATTTCTAAAATGAAACAAAAGGACACCCAGTCCAATTCTTGGCATTTCAATTCTGTACAGTACACTTTAGCTATTTACAAATATAGCTGTACCTCAGAAATCAGAACTGTATCAGTTAAACCTTTCTTCAGCAATGACCTCCTCACTTTTGACCTCTCCTACTTTTTTTTTTACCAATAACTGAACTTCCCCTGTGTTCTCATCATAACCATCACTACTCCCTCCCTATTTTCTTTGCCTATTACTTCTAGATTGTTTTCCCTTGTCTCCCTATTCATCCATGGACTGGCATATAAAAAGTGTGCCCATTAGCACTCTAGAATTTCCAACCCCTTTAAATTTATGCTATCCCCACCTGGATAATAATCATGATCCATTTGTTATATTCTAAATTCCATGCTACTAAATTTGCTGAACAATTGCAAAATCATTGTGATTGAGTCTAAAGCAAATTTAGATTACTTCCTTCACATATTTACCCATCTTCTCTCCATTTCTATTATCATGGTCCTAGTCCATGTCCTTAGTGACATTTCCTTGGACTGTTCACTGAATGAACATAACAAATATTTCTTAAATTTTCATTTTGAGTGTAAAGGTTAGGATCCACCTTCATTCCAATGGAACAGAGGAGGCTGGGTTATTCAAATGAACTAATAATTAAAACCTCATCACAATTAATAAACCTAATAAGACACTATACGCCCTGATACCTGAAACTTTCTCTTTGATTGAGTAACACAATCAATAAATCAGAGGTACAGAATAGGTGAGAACAATTCCTAGGCATCTCCATTGTACTAATCAACCAAAGGAATAAACTAGGTAGGTATAAAAGAAGTTGTCAATCATTTTGGAAGGACTTAAATGTTTCAAACAATTGCATGAAATAAGATGGAAAGTATGCTGTGATTGGTTGAAGAAAAAAAAAAGCACACC